TGACAATGACCACAGTTATCTACATTCAGAGCTATTTTCCTGAAAGCTTTACATATTTTGACAATGACCACAGTTATCTACATTCAGAGCTATTTTCCTGAAAGCTTTACATAACTTCCGTATTAAATGTGTTAAGTGTTACAGATCTCTTTTCAATAAACTTCACAAAATAATCACTAGAGTATCTTTATTGTTTTATAAAGCATTGTTTCTTTGCTGTTGATTGTTTTTCTTCATTCCAGAATGAAGTGGCTGCTGCTTTGGCAGAAGCAGGTAACACCTTTATGAGTTGTTTTTTTATATATATTTAGGTCTAAATTTTGAAGACTTACTCAGATTCAACAGTAGGTTTTATGAGCATGTTTCTTTTTCTTTATATAAATAATATAATCTGAGCTGACAGTTTTGAATTAAAATTAGTTCCTAGAATATTTTCATAAACGTGTGAAAACTGTTTTAAGACCCGATTTACAATGCTAAAATCCAGGGTTTGATTCCCCTTGGTGGACACAGCAGATAACCTTGTGTGGTTTTGCTATAAAACACACAGACACTTTCTTTAAGTTGTATTATGATTGTGATCTGTATCGACACCTTTGCAGCACTGTAGCACAGTGAAAATTACATTTTTTATTTAGTTGCCACATTTAACGTTGCTATTACCTCTTTAAGCTTTGTTATTATTGTGATCTTTATCTTATTTTTCTAGTACTTTGGTACTTCAAGCTGCCAGTTTTGTAAATTGACCACATGTGTAGGAGTAAGTGACAATCAGATTAGTTGTGTTACACACGGCTGATACTATGTTTATTGAATTATTTCACGTGGTTATTTTAATTAGAGTGTTAACATTTAATTTGTTAAGACATATATTATTACCAGGATTATATTCCATTTTTTAGTTCAGTATATGGATTTAGAAATAACCTAAGTTTTCTGTGCCAGCTGAATCTTTAGAGGTATTATTGGGGTTACAGATGAAAGTATCACTAACAGTGAGGATGCACAGCTGATGTGTTAAAGATTGGTATATTAAATTAACTCTATTCACTACTGGGTCGATTGTTATTCTGACTTTTGTAGGTAACTTGCAGTGGTTAGTAGTTAATGATAATGTGTATAGGTCTGATTTATGTCAGCGATACATGGGAATTAACTTATTCTTTAGCATCTCTTGGAAATATTTGTTCCTTTGCTGTTAAAAAAGAAGAGTAACTAATGCTAGTGTGAATGTGAAGAAATGTGTAGCTGTACATTTAAAAATTGAATCTAAATCAGTTGAATTCTGAAATACTGTACTGTATTCTAAGACTAGAATTTAGAAGGTTCTCAGAAAAAGTAGTTTAAGTTTTGACAAAAGAATAAGTGTATTATTTTTGTATGTTTTAGTTAAATTAGAGTCTTTTTGATTTGTATATTATTTTTGTCTGCAAGAATACTGATACAGCAATCATTTTCCTAGGTATTTCTGTGTTTGCATGGAAAGGAGAGTCAGAAGAAGACTTCTGGTGGTGCATAGATCGCTGTGTTTATGCTGATAGCTGGCAGCCTAATATGGTATAGACTGATGTTTATAATATTACCTGTTTTGGATATCCTGTAAAGAAATACTGATCTGGCTAACATTCTAGAGTAATGATAGTAATCGTACTTAATTTTTGACATGTAATACTTACATTACTTTCAAAGTAATTTTACTCTACTGAATATCAGTAGGCATTTGTGAAGACAGAGCAGTTCCATCTAACATGAGATTTATTATTGGCAGTGATACAAGCTAGTTGTTAGACTGAGATATTAATTACTTTATAACATCATGCTGTTTTATTTGGCAAGATGTGGTACATGTAGATGTAAGTCCCAGATCCTAAATGATGGTATTGATGTCCTGTAAATTTCCTTAAAAACACACGCTGACTTTCTTCCAGATCCTAAATGATGGTATTGATGTCCTGTAAATTTCCTTAAAAACACACACCGACTTTATCTATATCCTAAATGATGGTATTGATGTCCTGTAAATTTCCTTAAAAACACACTCTGACTTTCTTCCAGATCCTAAATGATGGTATTGATGTTCTATAAATTTTGTGTGTTTTTAAGGTTCTG